TAAAAAATTCTTGTGAATGACCTTCTTGCCTCTTATTAAAATGTGTGAGCTCAAACAAGCAGGATAGAAAAGAACTCAATTCCCTACTGACCTGGAAGGAAACAAGGAATGCAGATTTTGCCCCAGCTCCCACCAAATTTCCATTTTTCCTTGTTCTGACTCAGTTTCTGTCACCCTCATCGGTGTTGTCCTTGGCCACTGGTCACTAAAGAGGCTGGAGTGGGACAGGATTGTGAACAACAGAGAGGCCATCAAAGGAAGTTTCCTCCAGAGCCTGGGTTCCATATAACCTTTGGCTGCAGTATGAGAATGTAAAGCCGGAGATTGTAGCTGTATTTTTGACCACAAGATGGTGCCAAAAGTGCTCACTATGTAGCGAGGCTTCTTCAAAATACCTAGCGGAGAAGGCAGCTGCCAAATCTTTGCTTTGACCAAGCCCTTATTGCTAAAATTATTAAGAATGTATTAACTGAAAATTAATGAATAAATTAACTGTTATTCATATGCATCACATACTCAATTCTTCATGTCCCTCCAAAATCTGAGGAAAACACTGGATTTCTTTCTCCTGATCTTCCTTCCTCACTATGGCCATGGCCCAAGTGTACAGAGGTGTTCGTTTAGCTATATCAGACATCCTTACAGCCGTATTCTCCCCTTTCCATCGATGTCATTTTAAGAACATATTAGAAATGTGTTCAGTGGCACCCTGAGATAGACAAGGGCCCCTCTGTTACGAAAGGGGCATGAGGCTCAATACGAGCTCAACATGAGCTGAACTGCAAGATCACGGGTGGCACTGAAACATTTGTACACAAATTCACATGCAGCTCTCCTTATATGTAGAATATAGCATAAAGGACCCCAAAACGGGCTTATTTTGAGGCTTTAGCTTTGGCTCAGTTGCAGAAAAATCCAGCAACCCTCTTCAAGACTACCAAGTCAGCTACTTTTTGACAGAAGCAGAAAATAAAAGCACTTTTCCTTCCTTTCAAAGTAGTTTGGAAAGTGTATCTGCTTTCTAGAGAGGGCAGCACTTATATTCAACTGAAGATTTGAAGTTTCATGAAATTGGCTTTGATGCAGTCTTAGGCATGCGTCCTCTTAGTGTGTTAGGACCAGAAAGCACCACAGAAAACAGTGTTTTATATTTTCAACTTTATTTTAGAAGCTCATTCTTAGATTTTTTTCAAAATATTTCTAGGACACTGTAAAGCCTAATATGAAAGGGGATGCTGCTCACTGCGTGTGCTCCTGCACCTCATCATTCCAACTGGCAGCTGGCCTTGAGCAGCCCTTTATGCACATAGCACAGCTGCTATTTGCCTACAGCAGGCAGGCAACACTCTTGCTCTTCTACCTTTAGCAGCATAGAGCTCTATTTAAAGGAGAAAGAAAGAAAAAAGAAGAAAAAAATCTAGCCCCATGTGTATATTATCCCATATTTCCACTTGCCCAGTGCTGGAGAATTTATCTGTAGCAAAGTCTCCTCTAGGTCCTGGTAGGATGAATGCAGGATAGAACGATCTTTACTGGAAACATCTAGAGTTCATCACTTAACATCAGGCTGTGATTAGTTGTCCTGTGATTTCTACCCCAAAGGCATGTAAATGTCAAGACTTTGAGATAAGGTGCACCTGACCTAGAGACAAAAACCTCCTCTCACCCGTGAACAGTGTTAACCGCTGTGGGCTGGACTATCTCCTCCTGAAAGTGCCCTGAGAGACAATGACAGGACCTAATGAAGTACAAGAAGATCCCAAACCCAAATGTAACTGTTAGTCCGAACCATGGCATGCAGATGGAAAATTTAGGTTGTAAGGGTGTAACTGCCCAGAGATTTCTTCATTTGGGGTCTGTCTTTGGAGGCGCACACCTTGACCTGCAATTACTGCATGTGTGCCATGAAAATTCATTTTGCTGTGATTTGATTTCTGCCTCAGTTGGAACCAAGGGCTGTACCCTCCTATGATGAGCCTAAGTTTCCATAACACCCTGAGAAGAAGCTGAACATGGAATCAACTGAATGTGTGAGTTTTCTGCATGACTATTCTGTTACAAATGTTGGTTATGGACTTAGAAAACTCATTCTCAGAGCCACATGTGTGGCTCTAAACTAAGCCTAGTTTAGAGCAAACTAGTCTGTGGTGTAGTCTGCAAACTGATGGTGTAACTCTGTGATACTGGCCTTTACTAACACACTGATATATCCAAGGAGCACCAAGAACCCGTGTGCTGTGTTAGTGATACAACTGCTTCATAATAAAACATTGCTGCTGCTTGTTACTTTCCCAATGAAGAAAAGAAGATGACAACAGGAAAACAAAGATAGAAGTGAAAGATTTATTTTCAAACTCTGTTTCCATTGTAATTTCAAGAAGAAAAGCAACTCAACTAGCAGAACAGGAATACAAGAATATCCTAGTACAAAACTGTTTTCTATTTCTAGTACTGCACAACACCCAGAGTGGGTGCTTTATGAAAAATACTGTCAAGATAATCATAATAAAAATTCAAATGAGTGCTAAGGCATTCAGATTTACAACGCAAAGATAGTAACACAGATATAAGACAAAAGGCTTCTTAAAGCAGTCTTATCTACCCCATCCCCTTCTTCCCTTTCTTACTCCATCTGTAAGAAATTCCTAATTTAGTTGAAGGTGAAAAACACAACACAGAATTCTTCCTACACACTTCTCCCCCGGTTTTGCACTATTGACTGCATTTACATCCCAAGTCTCATCACATCCCTCCTCCGTGCCCCCTAGCAGCCTTGCAAACCTACTGCTTTGAGCCCTTCTGCTCGTCTCCATCAGCATCTTAGGCACAAACCCAATAGTGGCAGTGGAGGGACAGGGGAGCCAAACAGCTCTACAGGTGCTGCTGCCACAGGCAAACCCGTGTGTGCCCATATCCACTTTTGCAAGAGCTATATATATTAGGTGCTGCTAGTTTTGTGATACACTATAGAGAGTAAGGGGAGTGCATGTGTAATTTGAAGTGCTGACCATAACTTGGGAGGGAATGAGTATTACTCCAAATGTGCCTCCTATGTATGCAAAGCATCTCGGTTAGGTGTCTCACAGACAAGGAATACGTTTTTATTGCTGCCTATGAAGAAGTCTGATTTAAGAGATTTACCCATCCTCCTGGAGAATCACGGGGCAGAGGCAGCAATGTAACTTGACTCTGTTAAACATTGTTTAGCTGTTGCTCCCATGTTCTCCCTTTACCATGCACCAATTTGCTCACAGGGGCTGAATTTCCTGGGTATAGCCACTTTTTCTGTCCAGAAACACAGCTCAGGTGGATTTCTGAGGTGTTTCTATGTTTGGGTGGAGCTCCCAGGTACAAAGCGGGATAGCTCTGGCTGAGTAGTCCCCGGCACATCCCACACGTGCATGTGGCCTGGCCACACGGATACAGCACGGTCGCTCCAGCAAAGCAGATCAAAGTGCTCCAGAGCACTGCTGATCTCCTGTGAGCAGCCACCCCAGAGACATCCAGGACAGAAATAAAGCAGCCCTAATCACGGGGGGATTTCCCCACTTCCACAATGAAATGGGGATCTCGACTTCCTGCCTTGTGTGACCACAGTTCACCCACAGAGGCCGGTTCTGCCTCAACCTGCAGCCTGCTCCAGAGGCCAGAGCCTGGAGAGGCACAAGGACCTTGGAAGAGCGTAGCCAGCAGGAGCAGGGATGTGATCGCTCCCTCCCTGTACTCGGCGCTGGGGAGGCCGCCCCTCGGATGCTGCGTTCAGTCGTGGGGCCCTCACAAGGACATGGCAGTGCTGGAGAGTGTCCAAAGCAGGGCAACGACGCGGCTGAAGGGGCTGGAGCAGAGACCTTACGAGGAGCGGCTGATGGAACTGAGGTTAGTTAGTCTGGAGAAGAGCAGGCTCCGGGGAGACCTTATCACTCGGCACAGCTACCTGGAAGGAGGTTGTAGGGAGACGGGGATCAGTCTCTTTTCCAGAATAGCTACAGGTGGAACAAGAGGAAATAGCCTCAAGTGTGCCAAGGGAGGCTCAGGTTAGACATTAGGAAGAATTTCTCCATGGAATGAGTGGCAAAGCACTGGAACAGGCTGGCGGGGGAAGTGGTGGGATCACCATCTCTGGCAGTGTTGAAGAAACGTGTAGATGAGGAGCTTAGGGACGTGGTTTAACAAGCATGGTGGTGATGGGTTTACGGCTGAACTTGATGATCTTGAAGGTCTTTTCCAACCTTAATGATTCTATGAAGACCTCAAAATTTGTTTTCCTCCAAAGTGCCAAGTCAAAGAAACTCCTCAAAAATGGGGGAAAATCTTTCTGATCCTCATGACAGGAGCCCCACCACTGGCAAGAACCATCCAACAGGCAGCTTAGCTTCCGCTTCCGCTTCCGCTTCCGCTTCCCCTTCCCCTTCCCCTTCCCCTTCCCCTTCCCCTTCCCTTTCCCCCTCCCCGCTCCGAGGGGACCTCAGGCACTGCTAGGGCCTAGTAGCCAAGCGGGAGGGGCGAGTGGAGCCCTGGCCTCTGAATGGCTCCTTTAACCGTCAATCAAAGTCGCCCGCCGAGGCTGCCCAATCTCGCCGCGCGTCACGGCGAGCGGTGGGTGGGGCAAGGCACCGATCTCTCGCAATCCGATTGGTGGAGTTAGCTGTCAACTCGCTTAGCGCGAGGCCCCGCCTCCCCGAACGATCAGGGGGAGGAGGGGAGAAATGCTGCGGAGATCCCTCGCCGTGTGATTGGCCAAAGCCCAACGCCACTCAAGCTACGGCTCCGCCCCCGCCGGCCCAGCCTCTCAGCTGAGCGCTCAGTCCCGTGACAGGCTGGGGGCGGGCTTGATTGGCGAGTGGTCAGTTTAGTCAGTCACTCACGCGGAGCCCCGCCCACCCACCCCGGTCTCGCCTGCCGGTTGGCTGCGGCGGCTGTCCGTCAATCACCCCCACCCCAGTGTTGGGCGGGGCGCTGGGCGCTGTCGGGGGCTCGCAGTCGGTGCGTGCGGCCCGGCGGCTCCTCGGCGCGGGTGACATGGCGCGGAGCGGAGCTGTGCTGGGGCTGGCCGCGCTGCTGGCAGCGGCCTGTCTCGCCGGTGAGCGGCCGGGCCGGGCTGGGGCGCGCTGTCACGGCCGAGCGGGGCGGGGGAGGCCGCGCTGACCGTTGGGAAAGACCGTTGGGGAAGGCGGTTGAGGTGGAAAAGGGGAAGAGGGGGGCAGGGAGCGCGGGAGGGGGGTGGGGCTGCGCCAGGCGCCTTCCCGGCTTGCTTCCCACCCCCCTTCCCCCAAATCCTCTGCTCCCTTCTCGGCGCCCGCCGCTTCCTCCAGAGGCTCTAAGAGGAGCTCAAAGGCGGGCGTGTAGGAAGGCCTGGAAAGCTGGAAATCGCTTTGTTGCCAGGTACGGATTCTCATGGGCTGCCCAGGCGCTTCTGTGGTGGTTGGTGGCTTCCCGTCATTCGGCCCGGATCGGCCTTATCATCTACCAGGCCGTTATTACAGCCAATGGTTTTCATCCAGTCTATCCCAATTCTTCAGGCCTGATTCAAAGGGGTATTTGAGAGCTAAAATTCTCCTGGCGTCAGGAAGGTTTGCAGAAATTTGATTATATTTTCTGTAAGTGGATAGGGAGCTGGATACTGGATAAATTGCATTAGAGAATTTGCTTTCCAGCCTTCACTTACTATATAGCCCATCAGGGTATGATAGCCAAGCAATTATAGCACGTCTAAGGAAAATGCATGTACTTACTTTCAGACTCAGTTTTTCTCATTGAAATCTTGAGTGAGCCTTGTAAAGAAAATGAGGGTTAAAGGGAGGAAATCTCTGATATACACTCAGTGCAGCTTGGCCTCAGCTAAGCCCTGGTCTGTCTCGCAGCCATGTGGAGAGTACAAGCAAGTGTCAAGTCAGAGGGGCTGACAGAAATATATATAACCATTTTTTAAAACTGTTTCCTAAATGAATTGATCTGGAAGCATTTTTCCCTTCAAAATAAGGGCTGCTACACTATTAGATTTGATAGCACACCATCCAGTGAATAGATACCAATTTAAAACAACAAAAAGAGCCTGAATCTGTTCCAGGTGCAGCAGTTGATCTGGCTTGTTCACTCTTCCGCCACCCTTCCCCAACCTGCATCACAGCAGTTTGTTCTTTTAGTGTGTTTACCGTAACAGAATTCAAATTTACAGTCAACATTTGTATGCGTGATCATGACCTAGGCTTTGAAACAGTCAAATTTCAAGGTCAGATTGGTTAAACTAATGCTAAAAAGATTACAGCTGGTCATTACATATGCTTATTACTGCATTTTTGTAAACAGCCTTCAGATTTGCTGGTGCCCTAGAAAAATGTTTTGTATATTTGCTTGAAGTGGTAGCGGAAGTTCAGTTATCTTATGACAAATTTTCTGGTGGAAACATATATGGGTTCTTCACTAGGAATATTTCTGAATTTCCGCATTGTGTGTGTGTCTGCTTTTATTAAAATTTGCACAAAATTTCTTTTACAATTCAATTTTGTTAGACTGATAGAATTTTGTTTATACACACAGCTTCAATTCTTTTTTAGTGACTTTAGAGTGGGCTGGTAAGTTGAAATAACTTCTTCTATGACCTTTAATTTTCATGGAATCGTTTTTTGTCTTGGTTACTTAATAAATTGCAGTCTTCATAATATACTTAAAAATACCCTTTTAGTCAACTTTGCTCTCCAGGGTAGTGCGGAAAAGAAAGAGGATCCAGAAAACCCAAAGCAGCTGAGGCCCAGCATTGCACCCAAGGAAGGGAACCGTCTCGTGGTGCCCTGCTCAGGAAAACCGCGCAGCCAGAGCCGTTCGGCAGCGGGCAGCTTGTCGCTGGCCACGTCCTGCTGAAGGCAGCGCCGCCCAACGCGGCCGATCCTGCTGCCTCTGGATGTGATGCCTCTGGCCGTTGTCTATGTGCAAGCTGGAAGCAGAGAGAGAGCTCTGCTGGACTGTAGCTGTGGGGCAGCTAAGGGTTTCTTGGAGGCTGCTTGGTGCTCCAGAGATTAGCTTTGCCACAGCTGAGCTGTCGTGCAGCGTGCAAGCAGATTTTCAGCATGTAGAAGTGCCCAGTGCTGTTGCTTTAATAATTGCCTTGCTGTGGTAACGTGGATTTGTCCATGCGTTACTTCCTACTGTATTAAAAACCTTGCTGTGTATTCCAGGGCGTTAAAATGAAAGGTTCTCATTATTGGTGAAGTGCGAGAGGGATGAAAAATGAATTAACTGTATTCTGCTTCTGTGCTATAAGGAAAAGTTTGTAAAAGCAAATGACAGCTTTTTTGTTTGTTTTTAGGTGTGTGGGGTGATGAATTTAGCGTCTTGCGATCACCTCAGACAGTGATTTTTCAAGATGGAGGTTGGCCGCTCCCTGGCGAGAGGATCCCTGATATAGCTGCGTTATCCATGGGCTTTTCTGTTGAAGAAGTACGTTTCGGGTCTTGATTTTTGAAAGAGCTCGAAAACTACAGATCAGCTTGCTTAGCATGCAAGTCTTTTTGTCATGGGTTGGAATATATTTTTAAAAACCCCTTTTGTCTGGATGCCTTTATGACTTACCAAAGTGTGATTTCCAAGCATAGAGTTGTATTAGTCATGTGAGCAGCAACAAACTGTCCTAGGTGGATGGTTCATGTGACTCACAAGCTGTGGAAGCAAGCAAGCCTGCTGAGTCTGAGTTTTTAAGGGGGATGGGCTTGAGAACTGCCACCCAGTTGCACAGAGCCATAGAATCCATAGAACCATAGGAAAAGACCACATGTCATATCCCTCGTCACATATAGTCATGTAGAACAGCAGAAACCACTGTCCCTTCTTGCCTGTGGGCTAATCCATAGCGCTCCTTGCTCAGGCACTCTGAAGAACAGGAGCATTTCAGCTAATCAGGGATTGTGAAAGGTCAGCATTTTGTCTGCTGAGCATAGTAAGAACCAGTAAAATTAGTATTTGAGAAGTCATCTAAACCATTTGCAAGCCTGTTTTCTCTTTCAGATTAGGTGTCTGAACATAGCTGAGCGATGTTTAAAGCAGGGCAGTCTGTGTACTGATTTCGTCTGCCCACTGAGTTTTTTGCTGAGGTATCACAATGGGTGAAGAGTGGCTCTTAACGCAGCCCATGAAGGCTCAGGTACCTCTAACTGCCTGTGTGTGGCCAGCTCCTTGCAGATAGGAGCTGGCCTGTACCCCTAGTGGGGATAGGGGCGGTGGGTCCCCACCTTTTCCATGCTCTAAAATAAATTGATAAAATAAGTCAGGCACTTGCAGGGATTGTAAAATATTCACGGCATTAAAGCAAGAATTCTCAAAAACAGGCCTTCAATAGTCCTCTCTTGCTAAGGTAAAATAAAACTGCCCTCCTTCCCTTTTGACCCTGTTGATTAAATTAAGGGGTTTCTTTTGTTTCTTTCATGTGATGATCATTCCATCAGTGCTGCTTAAAATCTCAGTAACTTAGTATTATAAAGCTTAAAAGGGCAATTTTACCTAACACGTAAGAAATTTCTGTTTCAGCACATGGCAAATAGATGCATTTTGTGTCCAAATAAGCCAGCTAGTCTTCATTGAGTTCTTACTGCTTTGTAATTAAATTGCTAAGACATCTTTGTATGTTTCTGTGCAAATTCTTAAGTATTAGATTAGTAGGATGTTAATATCATTGATTTTTTTCCCCTGGACCTGAAAAAAATCGAGATATTAGTGTTTTGTTGTACATGAGCATGTTTCAGTGGTGCTCAGTGGTGAAGCTTTGTTGCTTTAAATTCAAGCTTCCATTATTAACTACATACCAAAATAGTTCTGCTTTAATTGTGGGAAAATAACTCTTGATAGATCTAATATATGTAATGTTCTCTTAGTGCATGCTTGGCTGTAAAGTTAGTTATGGCTTTTAAACTGACAGTTTCTTCATGGATAACTTGAGACAGTATTACTCAAGATGGAAGTGTTTTAAGAAGCATTCTAGTGACACTTACTTCCTCATGAAATTTCCAGTAGGCAACTCTGTAAAGAGATATCAATAAATTCATAGAATTATTTTGCTATAATGGTGGGAGAGGTTTCCCCTCTGCCTTACTTCATGTGAAATACACTTCTTTTTTTTTTTTTTTTTTAAATATTTTGTAATAGGACCTTCCCTGGCCTGGACTTGGAGTGGGTGATTTGTTTAACAGGCCACGAGCTACTGTGCTGGTGACAGTGAAAGGAGTAGACAAGCTGACGTTGCCCGAGAAAGGGGTTTCCTACCCTATTGAGAATGTGAGTATCTGTGTTTGGCACCGCCAACAACTGCTGCAACTCTTGTGGTGTAAGTAGAAGTTCATGAACTTCCACTGTAGCTCTTGAAGCTCGCTTAGTCGCTTGATATTTACCTACTCCCTTGTAGGCCTTATAGACCAGGCTATATTTATAATAAACAATCCAGTTGGACTCCTGTATGAGATGAGAGGCCTTTGAAGATGACTCGAGTCTCCAGTTCAACATCGTGTCTGGCCAAAGCATGTTTTCCTCAAACAGCATCTAGTTTTAGTGTGTTTGTACCAAGACATTGAGAATCTGCCTCTCCCGTGTTAGCTTGTTGATTCAGAATTAGAATTGCTTCACCTGTGTATGTGATAGCGTTTTGTATGCTGTTGATTTTTTGATATATTTCTCCTTCTCTAGGCAATCTTTGAGGGTTTTTTTTTCCTAAAGGACTTCACTATTAAATATGTACTTTGAGACTGAATATGATTATGCTATATTGCTGTCAAAAAGGAAGAACACTAACCCCAAAACATTACAGTTGCCTATCACAGGTATCCAGTCTTCACTGAAGCATTTTTTCACATTGAGGTACAATTTTGTCCACATACATCTTAACAGGAACACAATGACTGTACAAAACGTTGGTAACTGCAGTTTATTTTCAATGTTCCTTTGCTAATACATTATATGCACAAGTTTGTTCTGCTGCAATATTGCACCTGCAGTTCATATCAAGCTGCTTTTTTGTCCAATATGACACATTCCTTTTCAAATAATTTGCTTTTCTTTCTTTTTCTTTTTTTTTACATTCATTCTTCAGTTATAGCTTCTGCCCTTTATTTTCAGCTGGTTTATTTGTCACTGACTTTTGTCGGGAAGCTTCATTGGCATTCAGTTTACCATGCAGTTTGGCTCTGTGTAGCTGATGTGCTCTTATTATTAAAATGATAAATAATATTCTTGCTTCATTAAAACTTCTGGCATTATCCGGGTCAGTAGTTTGTAGTGTTTCACATAATAATGACCACACACCCTAAGGTGAGGGGAGGATTTCCTTATGAAATTCCTTTGTCAGCTGTCAGACAGTTCTAAATCTGATTTTGAGTGTCGACTTTTAATCCAGCTATTCTGTGGCTTTAAATCGAACCCATTCCCTGGTCAAGCAAGCTGGACACAGACCTTCCTTCACACTGGCTCTCCAGCACTGTGTGCTGCTCCAGCCACAGGAACAGTAAATAGTTCTGAGACCAAACTGACTTGGGATTGTCTAGATATGACCCTGTAGGCATACCTAGCTTGTGGAAATCTTAAATATAATTAAGTCAGTCTGCGGTCTCACTCACATTTGTAACTCTCTGTTCTGAAAATGTACTTTGTACGTATTTTTCTTTTTTCCTTGTTAATAGGAATTAATATTCCTAAGCTTTCATTGTTCATCAATTACCTTATGAATATTTTGTCACCACGTACAATTTATCCTAGCCTACCTACTTATTAATATCTAATAGAAACTTGATTATACTCTTTAATTAGTGAATGGGAAGGGAATATGTCATTTTGCTTCTTTTTAGATAAAAGCCAGAACCACACGCTTAGAAAAACTTAAGAGTTTTTTTTATCTTGCCAGTAATGGCACTATACTGTTGCTATAATTTATGTTGTTCTTACTATATTTTATATGGTTCATTGGTGTTTCAGCAGTTGGTCTTTCTATTGATAAATTTTCATCAGCTGTCTTTGTTTTGTAATTGGTAATGTGCACTGGCATCAGTTTCTTAAAACCCAATACCTATATATGGCATCTGTTCATAGATATATAGCTGATGTCTTGTTTTGCTCTCTCTTACTTGTTATTACTGCTTTGAAAGTATCCACAGTCTTGAAAGACAGGTTGTCCTATTTTTCCAAATTTCTGTAGCTCAGCAGATTCCCTTCTGTATCATTAGGCCCTTCTTTATCCTCAAATATAACTCGACTTTGTGTTTCAGGCTGTTCCTTTCAGTCTGGACAGTGTTGCCAATGCCATTCACTCGGTGTTCTCCGAGGAGACTCCTGTGATCCTGCAGCTGGCCCCCAGTGAGGAGGTGAGTATTGCTTCACTGCTGACCTCAGATGCCCTAAATAGTGACTGTTCCTCCCTTGCGTGGCTGGAGCACAACCAGCTGATGATGTGAAATACCTTTCACTGAAGGGAGATTGCAAGTATGATTTATCATTAATGTGTGACTGGGGAAAAAAAAAAAACCTCTAAATCCTAAATGTTCTGATAAAACAATGACTGTTTCTGCAGAGAGTGTACATGGTGGGCAAGGCAAACTCGGTATTTGAAGATCTTTCTGTCACCCTGCGCCAGCTGCGGAACCGCCTGTTCCAGGATAACTCCATTCTCAGCTCCCTTCCTCTGAACTCCCTCAGCAGAAACAATGAGGTAAAACAAACAAACAAAAACAAACAGTGAATACATTTCTACTACCTTTTTTATTCCTGGTATGCTTATATTAGCTTATGCTTTTTTTCTTCTTTTTTTTTTTTTTTTCTGTTACAAAATACTGAAACTTAGAGCAAAGTGAGGCTTCCCTTGCTTTGAACTCATCGAAGGAAATACTCTCATGTCTTTATATTTCTTTCCCTAGGTTGACCTGCTTTTTCTGTCCGAACTACAAGTCCTACAAGATATTACAAGTCTGGTAAGTAAAGTTTTTGAAGCAGTTCTCGTATCTTACACCTCCAACTTCAGACTTCTCATTTAAAGGGAGAAAAGCCATTAAAGGTAGAAAAGGCGGGCACTGAAATATATTCAGTTATCATCAGTAGGTTGTATCAGCTTAAAAATGCATTCTTGAGGTGTTTGGATCAACTCAAATTCAGATTTGAATCTGTCAATGAAAGAAGTAAATGAGATACTTTCTTCTAGTTTTACCTCTTGTTTCTTTTGTGTTAGAACTTGTGAGAATGGGGAATTTTGGTGCTTTGCTTCTGTTGTTAATTAGGAAGTATACAGGTAGTTAAGAAAATGTTCTTTGTTCTGTCCACTCTTTGACTTTAAAAAGTCAGTATAACTTTTACCTGAGAAGGTAGGAATGACTTTTTCGGTAACGTCAATAGTGGTGATAGTAAAAGTATTCCAGCAGATAAGGTGAGCTTTTAATTGTGAGCTTTTTAAGCAAGAAGCTTCCTATGGCCTTTATAAAGTGTTGCTGGATTAGTCCCAGTAAGTTGATTTTGTCCAAGAGTTTATTTAAAGCAATTTGCCTTTGAACTAATCTCTTTTTGTCTGTAATGATGTTGCCAAAGTTGTCTCGACACAAGCACTTGGCCAAAGACCGCTCGCCAGACCTGTATTCTCTGGAACTGGCCGGCTTGGAAGAGATCGGGAAACGCTATGGGGAAGATTCCCAGCAATTCAAGGATGCTTCTCAAATTCTTGCAGACTCTCTGCAAAAGGTAGGATTTCTGTATACCCCTGTGTTAACTGCAGGGGAGTAAGTGCCAGGTTTATTGATTGTTTTCTGCTGTGAGCAGAAATCAGGGTTTGAGTCGTGTTTGTTTTTTGTACTGCAACTCTTCATTTATAAAATCTAGTGTTACAAAAATTGTCACTTTGTGAAAAGCATTGACATGATTCTAGGACACATTAGATGTTTTAACAAGTAGAAATATATTAAAGCCATATATAATTATGAGCTAATAAGTCTGTTTTACTTAATCAAATATCTTGCATTTAAAACCACCAGTTGTTTCATTAAAGCTGCCCCCCCCCCCTCCTCCCCCAAAATGGGCAAATAAATATCTTTATTCCAGGATAGAATGGTTAGTCTCCTGCCCGTAAGTGGTGTAGATCTAAATTTTTAAGCTGCCAAAGTGATGGCTGGTCATCTGTTGGTGTGCTCAAGAAAATATTTTTTTAGCATTTCTTTTGTGATGATTAGGTAAAATCTTTATTAAAAACTAAGACCAGACAGGTTTGAGAGTTTTTAAAGCATGCTGAAAGAACATAAAAGCATTGAATTCGCTAAGCCAAGTAGCCGTTTTCTTTAAATACTCTTTAAATCCTCTCTGCAGTTATGCAAATATATAAAAATACTAGGAATACCTTTTTGACTAGAATTCCTCTTTAGAATACTAGTCTTCAGCTCAGATTCAAATACTTGGATTTATAATTTCCCAGTTGAGAGCCTTAACGTTTTGTTGAAATTGACTGATGGGCAATTGGGAACCCTTGTGGCCCCAGGCATTTCCTAAAGCAGTGTAGGGACTTGTTCAGCCCAGGGAGCAGAAATAACTTTCACTCTGCCAAGGGCTGGCTGAGGAGTCTTAGGGGTCTCTCATAAACCAGCACTTGTAAGTTGGGGCTTTCTCACTGCAATTCAAAGTGACTGTGAACAACTAAGGAGTTTTACGGAGTTCCTCATCCTAAAGCTGACAAATCATGATTTTGTGGGTCTAGCTGAAAAAGCTCGCTTAATTCCTGGCTGCAGCGTAGATATTGAATTAACTTTTCTTCCTCCAGTTTGCAGATGAGATGTATAATCTCTATAGTGGGAATGCAGTCGTAGAAGTGGTGGCTGTAAAAGCATTTAATTCTGCCCTCAGCAGGAAGACTCGCTCCATTCTCCAGTCCACACAGGTAGTAGAGACAGTTTTCTGTATTTCTCTTAATGTATCTCTTAAATATAAATGCATCAGAGCTGCATCATGTTTTTCCTTTATCATGTTTTTAAGGCCCAGAATACTTGCCTTGACTTAGGTAAGGGCAGATAATCAAGACATTATCTTGTCTTGATATTCAATTGACTGTAATTTTAACTTAAAGGGCCTCTGGGAGTCATTCAGTCCAACCCACTGCTCAAAGCAGAGCTAATTCAGAATCACAGACTGGTTAAGGTTGGAAGGGACCTCAGAGGCCATCCAGTCCAACCCCCCTGCTCACGCAGGGTCAGGCTGTGTTAGATGAGGCTGTGTGCAGCCTCTTACAGCCAAGTTTTCCGAATTTTGAAGGCTGGAAAGCACAGCCCCTCTAACAACATGTTCCAAATCCTTGCCACTTTTCACTGTTCCCACCCCAAGTATTTCATTGGAATTTGGCTGCTCAGCACCATTGCTACTTAGGCTTTTGCTGTGCTCCTAAGGGAAAACACGGCCAGCTCTTCTCTGTAATAGCTCGTTAGGGAGTAAAGGCTGTAATTAGCTTCCCTTTCTGTCCAGCCTCCTGCTTTGCAGGCTGAGCCAAGCCCTTACCTTTCATGTGCTCCAGCCCTCTGCTTACCTGAGGGCCCCTCAGCTGGGCTCTCTCCCCTTCCTTGCTCTTCTGTGTCTAGTGCTGGTTCTTGGCAGCCCATTCCTTCCGATTTCCTTGATGTCATTTGTATCTTGATCCTGTACAAACATCACGTTTGCATCTTGTGCCGCAGCGTCAGAGCTGTCGGGACAAAACTTGTTTGCCCCTTCACAGAGCGAAAGTGATAATCCCTATAACCTCGCCTACGAGTACAACTACGACTACGCCGTCATCTTCAACATTATTCTCTGGATGATGATAGCTCTGGCTTTAGCTGTTATCGTCGTCTCCTACAACCTCTGGAATATGGATCCCGGCTACGACAGCATCATTTACAGGATGACAAACCAGAAGATAAGAATGGATTAAACTACATTGTATTCCAGTTTAGGAAAATGATGAAGAACAAGGTTTCCTTTAAATTATGTGAAAACAATTATTCTGGCATAGTTAAATGTGTTTTATTTTTTTTCTAAAGGTGTACTTATTTTTAAGTGTCCTTTATGGGTTTTTTTTCTCTCTTTTCCTCTCAAAGCTTATTTTAACAGTCAGTACTAGCACCCGATGGGATTTGCATATCGAAACATGCCTGTTCAAAAGGAAAACAAATATACAGATCTAACTGTTAGTAAGGCAACATCATTCCATTTTCTTTATCATGTTACACGAGTTTCCAAGAGGGCCTGTACTACCTGTGACTGTGCAGAGCCGCTGAACTGAAATCACGGTAGCAAGACAGTGCTTGGAAGTCTAACACTGGAGGATTAGAAATTATAGCTAACTTGTTGTGTTGTATATTATGGATCAGTTGTAAATGTCCGATGTAAATATTTATAATGGCTATATGTACCTTTTGAGAGCCGAGTTCTTGCTCTTTAGTGGCATGTTAAATATAGAGAGGTTTCTACAAGAGCAGGATTCCAGCTGCACAAAGGGCCTTTTGACCTCACGGAGGCGGCCGAGTTGGGACCTGCAGCCACAAGGCTGCTTTGCCGAGACCTTTAGTGCCCCGGGGTGAACACCACTAGTGTGGCTGGTCTATACAGTGCAGAGCCTATCAATACCGAAGTAGCACCAGGCAGGTAAGAGCTTGATGTCATGTACAGTTAAAAGTTCCTACTATGATGTTTCATATTCCTTCCATTGGTGTTGATGTTATTAAAAAAAAAAAAAAAAGAGAATTCTTTTTGATGGTAAGAATGGACCAAGACTTGATTAAAGGCACCTGATTGTAGCGCTGCCTCCGTTGCTCAGTACCCCTCGGACCAGGCGCTCCTGCGCGTGCTTGTTCTGGCGGCGGCCAAGGGCGACTGCCCTTCAGCATTAACCCTGTGTGACCGGTGTCCCAGCCTCCAACCCGCTGCTCCAAGGTGTCTTCCCAAAGCAGAGGCTGGAAGATCACGCTGTGGGTAAATATCCTCACGCTGTAGGGGTTCATTTCCTCACACTAAACTTCCATAGTTAAAACAAGTGCTTCACCTCGGGCTTGACCCTGACAATGCAGTTCTTGGCAACTCTCATTTGCTCTTTTTGCAGAAGAAATTCTGAACAGCAGCAGAATGAATGGGAGTTTCTCTTTCTTCGTGTTGTCCTCTAATATATTTATTTCCCTAGTACTAAGAGTCACTTGTTCCAGTATCAGATCTGCTCCGTAAATTACCTAGTCTTGCTGCATGGTCCTGTTGGCTTTGGAGGCGTTGGAGTTACACACGAGTCCGTGTCTTGCAGAGCCTGGACGACGCTTGGTACTGAGTTGAGGAACATCCTGCAGCTCGGCCCAAGTCCGGGCACTCTGGTTTCATGTTTTTATAGTAACTCTAAGTTATAAAAGTTATCTGGATCATTTAAACCGAGGGGCAGTGGATGAAGAGCGCTCTGCCTGATTCCCTGCACAGTGTTAACCCAAGAACGGGTAGCTTAATTATTGAGCATCCTGTAACACACTTACAAGGTCTTGATGAGCACCTCGAAGTTGCACAACTTCATTGTGAAAATAATTGAGGTGCGAGGGGCCCGAGGTGCTGCTGGAAAGCAGGATTTCTGCCCAAAGAGTCACCCTGCTCTAACCCACAGAGGCCCCGGGGAAGCTGCCGATGGAAGCAGCTCTCCCGGAGGCTGCAGCCGCACCACGGGCAGGGGGAAAGTACAACACAGGGGTTTGCACGGGACAGGAACCCAGCTATCAGCAGCCTCTTCTTCCACCTGCTCTTATTGGCTAGAAATGATGCAGATTTCAGCTTCCTAGTGCTGTTTTGACTAGGACTTAAAAACAGGTAGGACATCATGTTGCAGAGCTGCTCAGCACTACTGGGCCCTCCTCTCCTTCGGCCAGGTCAGGCTACCAGCCCTGGGCTTCCTCACTGTTAGCAACGTGGAGTGCTGGTCACCTGCAAATCAGTCATGCTGTGGGCTTTCAGGTAAGATTCCTGCCCCATCAGCTCCGCTCCAGCTTCTGGATGCTGCCGTAGGCTCTCACTCTGCTTTTTAAAACTAGCCATAGGCAGCTGCTGCTTCCCAAAATCCACGTGGAAGCCTCATTTAATCCACAACTCTCAAAGCTGGCTATTGCCATGGTGGTTCATTCCCACAGCTGCAGGCCCCTGGCTACTACTCCATGTGCCTTAAAAACAGGACTGTTCCTAACTGGCAATTTCCTTCCTGTATAATATAGCACAAGCTCCTTTCCGAGCGCCCCTAGCACTGCCCTGTGTTAGTTGGAGCCAGGTCAGCAAGACTTGAAGTGCCACAATGGCACCGATCCCAGGCCAGGTGGTCATGCTGCTGGTCCCGAGCCAGGAACAGCCTTTCCACAGTTGGAGTCCAGTGAACTACAGTGACACTGGAGCGGCAACACCGCTGTATCTGCCACTGCTCACTCTCTTGGAATTCCATCTTTCTTCCCAGAGTACTGGTTGTATAGGGATGCATGTGAAGCGGCAGGAATGGGATTTGCCTTCAGCATGACCCGGAGCGCAGTGAACCTCTCCGGTGGCGCCTCACGGAGACAGTGCTGACGGTGGAAGCACATGGGCTGTTTTCTTTAAAAAAGGGAGGTAATGGGTGTGCTTGTAGAGGCACCTTGGGGTTTGACAGAGGCCCAGGCCGTGCTGGGATGCACTCCATTCCGGGCGGAAGGGCAGGAGCGGTTTTCCTCTTTGGCAGGAGCCAAGGCGGACGCTATGCCGCTTGCAGGGGCTGCAGGGCAAGGAGAGGTTTCCCTGGCCGAGCCAGGTTTTCCTGGCCGAGCCAGGGCTGCTCGGCCTCCCGCGCCATGGGGTGGCAGTGGCTGCAGGCCCTAGCGGCTGGAAGTGCTGCGTGGGGCCAGGAGGGGAGGCTGAGCTCCCACCTCGCTGCTGGAAGAGGAGGCCCCTGCAGAGGCAGAACTGAATTTCGGGAATTGCTCTTGGCTTTAGGCTAAGCAGCAAGCCATGAAAGCTGAAGTATGGGGTCCCCTAAGAGCCCCCATGCTTCTCCTAGAGCATCCCCAGGGGTTTAAGCCTTAGACAAAACGTGTCCTTCAGGCTCGACATTGGCCTCTACTTTCCAAGCCTGCCAGTGACAGACAGGGCAACCGTGATAGGTCCCCCAGCCAGGGCAAAACAGTCGGGAAAGGCCCCAAATACCCAATCGTTGCATTCAGAGCTAAAGAGAAGGAAGTGGAGGTGAAGGGACAGCTTCAAAATACGAACATTGAGTAACCTCACCGTGACTGCTGGGATTTGTAGGTCGACCTGCAGTGAAAACGGAGGCAGGAAGGTCTCTGTCTAATGTGGGTGGGTTGGTTTTGACCTGGACATAGATCTCCTAACAACAAACATGTGACTGCCGTTACTGACATTGTTCTATGGCTATTGTGAAGGAGGGGTGTTGCACCAAAATCTCCAGGTGGCCTCTGGAAAGTGAGATTTCCTCATGGAGCAGGAGGTGGTGACTGCCCTGCTGCCTTTGCAAGCTTCTCTTCCACAGGCCCTGACCTACAGCCTTAAATGCCCATGTAATAAACATGTTTGTTCACTAAGGCTACCGAAAGATTTTGTTAAGCCACCACATCCTGTTAATGATCCATGAGATGTTAACCAACCATGAATAGGCTTTGCTTGCATAGGAACAAGCTTGCGAGACCAAGAGATTATGTACCTAGATAGGGACCAAGAGATAGCCAACTATTTTGCATATAATGGGATGAAACAGAGGGCACTGAGGAAGRCTTATCTGCCTTCCTCCAAAACGACCATCAGAAGGCAGATAACGACCACCTAGAAACAGCCGGCGCAAGCACATTCCGACTGAGCAACATCAACAACACACAGCGCAGACTCAACGGAACCTTCGGAAAAAAACACCAAAGGCGGAACTTGGACTCAATATAAATACTGAGACTTTGGGGACTTGAGCGGGGCCTGAGAATGATTACCTCCAGGCCGCCCCAGTGCTGTCGCCCTTTGTATCCAGCTTACTTTAATAAAATGTAGATGAGAAATTGTCTCGCCTCATCTATGACAATTTGGTGCCGTGACTCGGGTCCAACGATTGAGACCACCCGGGGTATCGGGGAGGCGCCCCGCCTTTTTTTTTGGTGGCCCCGGCCTCTCTCTCCTGGACCGACGAACCTAAATTCTGGATACAAGGCGGGTAATATCACCCTGTAAAATTCGTGCACGAAAGGTCCGGACGAAGACGCAGGACGCGTGAGTATAAAGACGATTCTGTTCGGTTTGGGTGGGAATTCCTGGGATGAGACGGTTCCACGAGTGTGCGAACGACTGAGACGTCAGGCCACTGACGAAGCGAGTGTGGACCTCCTATACGGTGCGGTTCCGATCTCCCGCGAGGGACTCGGCCACTAATGGAGGGAAGTGAGAGTTTTTGTGCGAAAGAAGGCACCCCGTGAAGGAGGGTCTTAGGAGAGACCTTCAGGAGAATCCCAGAAGATGGGACAGAAGAAGAGTAAGCCTTCTGTTCCCATGGGGAAGGGTCCCTGGGTTCCCTCAATACCTGATGATAGTCCGTTAGGGCTAATGATCAGGTATTGGGATGACTGGCTGTCCCAGCAAGGAAAAGACAAAACCAAAATGATTAATTACTGTATGGTAGTATGGGGAGGGCAGCCTATTAAGGGGCAGGCAGTACGTTGGCCCATATATGGGTCTTTTGAAGACTGGGTTTGTCAAGCTTTAAATTTCTATGTGAACTCTAAGGAGCCAGTAAATCCTGAAGAAAGTGAATATGCGAGATTATGGCTGCCAGGGGGAAATAATGGGAATGCAAGGCTATACCTTTTAGAAGGTGCAAGAAAGGGAAATCATAAGAAGAAAAATAGAGATAGGGAAGAAATCTCCCTTGGTCCCCCTCCTTATATTTCACCACCCCAACTACCAGCTTCCCCACCACTTCCATCGCCCCATGAGGAACAGGGAACGGCTCCCCCTGAAGAAACTGATTATAGGAGGAGGACTAGAAGTCAGGCTAGGAGAGAGAGAGAAAATCAGGAGGATGAGGAGCCACGAGGTCCTTTCCCCCTTCAGGAAATAGCAATGGGAGGCCCGCAGGCAGGAATGGGATTCGTCTCGGTCCCCTTAAACTCTAGCGATGTAAGGGAATTCAAAAAAGAAATGGGAAAATTGCTAGAAGATCCCATAGGGGTAGCCGAAGCCGTAGACCAGTTTTTGGGACCAAGTATGTATACATGGACAGAGTTGCAGTCGATCTTAAGTATCCTATTTACAACTGAAGAAAGGGGAATGATTCGGACAGCAGGAATGAGAATCTGGGATGCTCAGCATGCTCAGGGGCCAGGTGCTGATACAAAATGGCCATTACAAAATCCCAATTGGGACAATCAGAACCCAATTC